GTGGCCATAGACAATCGCTGAGATAATGGCACAAGCCGCTGGGATGATGAGTACAATAAGGCGATATTCAGGCTGTATCAGTCAGTAAGCGATCTTGAGAATTGGGAAAGGAATATTACCTCGAAGACACCCTTGTTTCGTCGACTCATGAATTTACAGATGATGTCCGAGCCAAATCCGAGCAGCGGAACAGCAAGCAGGCAATCGATGATTTGAACAAGCTGCACATATCCGAGAAGTTTGCCGTTGAAGTTATAGGGAGGCTGTACCAGAATAACAGCAAATGTTGAAGCCTGGTAGATATAAAGACCTAGGAAAGCACCATTGAGAATGAAGATCCAGAAGATAGGCGGCAAGATGAGAGACAGCCCGACGTCCTTGTAGAATGAGACAAGACTCTTCCAGTCAGCTTTGCCGTGGAACAGCTTTATGTCGTCACGCCATGTTCTCTCGCCGAACTTCTCGGGCTGGAGAACAACGCCGTTGCGGGTCGTGACTTGGTAAAGAACCTCGTTAGTACCCTCGCTGGCTACATTGCCGTTCTTGTCGAGCCTCAGATGGACAGCACCCTCTGTTCAAGGTTAGTATTGGCGAATAAAGAGAACAAGAAAGCTTACCAGTTGCGTCTTCTGGTCGGTCGTAGCGAGTCTCAGCGAGGAAGAAAATGGACATGATCATGGTGAAGCCATTGATGATGGTCATGATACCATACCACCATGGCAACCCAAGCGATGGGACGATGTACGTAGTCGCAGTGAAGAGAGCTGCAGTAAGTGTGTTCTGAACACCAACAAAGTAAGACAGCTTGACACCATGTTGATGAAGGAAGTGAATCTCCTGCACAATCAAAGGTGCAAGAGCCTCGCTCTGTCCAGCAGCCAGACTGAAAATGTTGCGCCCCGCGATATGGCTCGTAAGCGACTTTGAGCAAGCACACCAGATTCCGGAAACTGTGAGGAGCAGCAGGGAGAATAGAAAGACAGGTCGTCGGCCGATGGCGTTGGCGAGAGGCATAGAGAGCAGATTGCCAATTCCCATGAAGAGAGTGGGATATGTGAGTAAATCGCTGACACGCTTTGCATTGTCGTTGTGATAAAGCGCGTAGAGCTCTGGGGCGACGGAGCCGAGACCGGAAGTTCCTAGGACTGAGATACCGGAGTAGAAGCCGACGAGGAGGATGATCATGTATTTGCGCCAGACAGGCAAGTTGAGAGGATCTGACAAAGTTGTGAGTTTAAGCTAGTCGGAAAGAATTGTGTGTTTGTTTACCTTTGGGGTCAGGACTGGGCGTCGGGACCAGAACAACAGTTCCATCTTGATACAGATTAACCGTACCAGATGCATCGTGAGACTCGTGATGAGGTGTCTTGATGATATCCTCAACAGCATCTACGTCAGGTTTCATACCGAAAGAATCGCGTCGCTCAGCCATGACTACGCCTTGTCAACCGGATGAGATTTGATGTTTTCATATCTCAAGCAGCAAGGAAACGAGGTTTATATCAATCAGATGGCCCCCGGGTCGGAGTCAGGTCTGGACCTTGGACCTTGGTACTAAGTTAGTCTGATAGCGTAACGAATAGACTCCGATTGGTTATTACACGATGGGGTCTAATGAGGTAAAGTTGCGGGGGTGGAGCCGAGTCTCCGAGGGAATGAATGCGGGGAAGGGCAAAGGTTTACCGATCGTGTATTAAAATACGCTGTCTGCGCCTCCGTCGGCTCGGTATCTCACCACCCAAACACAGCAACTCCAGATCTTGAATCTCTCAGTAACCCTTGTCACCGGAACCCGTGCCCATCTACCGGCATCGCATCAACCCAATCATCGTTCACACTATCCCCCACGTTTCCCGACCCCCATGCCCTCCCCAATGGATACCGAAGACAGCCCCGGCATCCCCAGATCCAGCAAACGGCGCCGTCTCAATTTCGCATGCAACTACTGTCGGAGTCGCAAAACGCGCTGTGATGAACAGCAGCCATCTTGTCAGGCTTGTATTCTCGCCGGAGTTACTTGCGTCACAGAAGATAGGCGCAGACCGGGAAAGGTGATCAAGAGACGAGAGGCGGGAAAGTCAACAGACGGAGGATCTGTTACGTCTGCGAGTCCGTCGGAGTATGGATTGCAGACTGGGGCTGTGGAGAGGAGACATTCTGTTGCTGAGCCGAGGACTATTGAGGTTGTTAATGTCACTGGGCCGATTCGCGCCAGGTCACAGAGTCCGAGGCCGTCGCAGAGTAGAGATTCTTCTCACACTGACACCATCAGTAATCCGCTCCCTATATGGCGGCAAAGCGCCGGCACCACGTCTTTCCAGATATTGACGGAATGGCTCGACCTGGCTTGTTTCCGGCTGAGCATCCCCTACCATTTTGGCTCGTATCCCCCCTCTACGCTGAACCCGCAATCGGCATGTCAGCCCCAGCACGGAATCCCGATCACGCCCGAGACATGGGTGCCCCAGACTCTGTTCGACGCGTATGCTAGGGAGATTCATACGTTTTACCCTGTTGTGAGGCTCGACCAGGCTCGTGCCGATGTAGTGCAGTCGCACCCAGGGAACTTGGCGTCGCATGCTGTCGATATTGCAGCGTTGAGAAGCCACCTGCTTTTCGCTGCGGGAGGATGTATTCTCCAGCATACCGAGCGAAAGACCTATATGGCTGAAACACTGTCTCTAGCCCGCAACGCGCTGGGCTATCTCATAGGTAATGTATCATATGATACCATCGAAGTCCTCTTTCTATTCTCAGTATGTCTCCGCCTGAACGACGAGATCATCTCAGCTTGGACAACGCTCGGTGTATGCCTTTCTATAGCCCACTCTCTCGGCCTCAACAAGCCTGGAAAGAATAGGAAGAAACCCCTGGATCTTGACGCCTGGAATCCCGCGTGGTGGGCTTTATACAGCTACGAGAAACTGTTCTCATTCCAGCTTGGATATGTGTCAACTATCTCAGATGATGCATTCGACACCTTGGAACTAGATGTTATTAAACTTACTGCCCTGGAGCCATCACGCATCGTGTTATCGATGGCGAGTGTGTTTAGCAAGATGAGTCGTCGGTGTGCTACGGCAAGACAACTCGAGGAGAGAGCTAGCAGAAGAGCTCTTGAGGCGGTGGTCAAAGAGAAGGTTACGAGCACTGGAGAGGCATTTCTGATGTTGACGAACTGGGCTAATAGTGTCCCTGCCAGTATAAGGTAGGCCATCTCACAGCCGTGGCTTCATGGTTGCTAACGTGCAATAGACCTACCTCGGACTTTATGCGCGTGCCAGAAAACCTTGGCCTCGCATCATTTGTGTCACTACACTACCATAACGCGTAAGTTGATCAAAGTCAGCCTATGAATTTTGAAACTAATGTGTTGCAGCCTCATCATGCTGAACCGCAACTCCCTTCTGATCAGCAAAAACGCTCTGCACATGGCAGTAGAAATCATCGCCAAAGATACACCATGGGAGTACCAGATCCGCAACGGGCAATCGATGGTCGCAAACTCGGCACGAAAGATTATCCATCTTCTCGCTGACAACGATGATCCGGCGTCGCATCTTTTCGCACCGGCTTACTTTCCGCTGCTTCATGCGATGTATGTCCTGGCTGTTCATATTCTGAAACAGCCGCATTCGCGCGTTTCCAAAATTGATCAGAGTGTGAGTTGAGCCATTTATCATAATATTCAATCGTACTGATTAGGACAGCTCCTTGTGACTGCTGCGGATTTGGTCCGCTGCTACTGTGTTGGTATCAGTGAAGAAGATCGTCTGAACACCATTCTAAATGGTCTTCTTCGTGTTGTCCAAGAAGCTATAAAACCTATCCCCGCACCAAACAATAACGACAGTAACACTCCCGCGCTCAATTCATCAACAAGCCTGTCCGATCAGAATGTTACACCCTTGACAGATCAACAGACATTCACAGAAGCCGTCGGCCAGTCGGATCCTGCGATCGCAAGCAATACTCATTTCTCGATGGACGAGGGCATACTTGATCCCTTTTCGGGCCAGCCATTCAACATACCGATACTACCTGATGAGATTGGCTGCGACTGGGCTGACTTTGAGAACTTATTGCAGAGACTTGAGAGCGAGGGGCCTTTGTATCCCACCGATGAAGGAATGATCATTGATATATAGTGCTTAAATTCGACAGATTTGTTCTCTTCCTGTTCAATATTTCATCATTTCCTATATTTTGTGCATTTCGACAAACAAACCCGCTTGACGTGGAAACCATCCAGATACGGTCTGAATCCTGACATTCGGATCTGCGAGTTGAATCTCATATCGCGGCACCAAAGTCGCTACAGCCTTGTATATTTGATTCAGTGCAACGTGTCCCCCAACACAGATTCTAGAATCCCCGCCGAAGGTTGGATCTGCTCCATTCATCGTTCGTAAACGCCGCGGGTACTCCTCTTCACTTTCGTCTTCTATCCTGAAGCATCGTTAAGGACGAAATTGATTTGTATCATCTACACAAACCTTTTCGCTTTGGCTGATAATATATGGATTCAAGCCTACAGCAACTCCAGCAAGGAAATTGGCTAACAGGACGTTCAGCACTAGTTTTGCATCAACGGAATCTGCATTACTCTTCATTCAATCAATGAAATGGTCTAGAAAGTCTGGCTCTGAAGACTTTTCTCGTTCCCGTTACTCGAGTCGGCGCTGGAGTTGTGCGATTGAGAAAGGAGTGATGTGGCTCATGTCTAATGGTCAATGCGCACAATGAGATTATTATTGAGAACTAGTGAAGGAAGGCTGAGTTTGGTAGAGTGGAAGTGAAGTTTGGCGTTACTGATTGAAACCAATCAAGCCTAAGGATTTGCGACTTGATATTGAAGAGTATCTATCTAGGAAACACAGCAGCCCGTTAAGTCAAATGCAGGGACAAAGCAAACAGCAGAAGCAGCTGAAAATATTTTTCCATTCATGAATTGTTTCCTTCCAGTTATATGTACTTTGCCACTTCTAGCCCAGTCCGGACTACCTCAGAGTGACCCTCTTGGCCTTCAGGCTATAGAGATCGATTAATGACTTAATAGGTTTGACTTTTGTCAACCCCGCGACAAAACACGTCCCAATAAACTGATAACGCTTACCAGCTTGCCGCAGAACGGCTACTTGGTTGAGGCCATTGAGTAGACAAACCAAATCGCCCTCCTGTATCCTCGGGGGAAACCTCCCAACATAGCCTTTCTTTGTCTCTGCTATAGCATGGTTGTACGGCTTACACTTGGCGCCGAGGATTTCAATGTAGCGACATGCCTTCGTGTATGCGTCCGAGTCATCATGGTCATCGGGATCCTTGATAATTAGGCGAGGGCACAAAGTAAGAGAAGAAACACTCACAGGAACTTGTGTAAAAAAATCCTCCACGTAGCAAAGACGGGCCAACGTGGCTCTAGAGCACGATTTAAGCTCCAAAGATTGACGATTGAAATGACATAAAAACTTCAGAAGCTCCAGGCCGTTTTCGATAGGGAAATCAGTCTCTTTACTGTCAGAAGTAGCAAATGGCTCAAGGACATGACGCAAAGCAGCCAATGGGTGGCCCCCTGATATGTAGCTCGCATGACGTAGGGCAAAGTCCAAGGCCCAGGTTATTGGCAAGCCTTTTGTATGGCGAAGCTCGGGTCTTCCGTAGTCAGAGACTCTTGGGCCTATCATTTCGATGCGATCCAGGATATATAATGTAACCTCCATGTCGGGGCCGCTTATTCTTTCCTGAGGTTCTTTTTCAAAAATACTCTCAATATCCCTGTCGCCTGGGGAAACCACTGCATCTGCATCCCCCCTGGAAGATGGCTTTGATTTTGCCTCTCCGGGGAAGTTTGGACCCCATGATGGCATATCAGGGTCTGTTTCCCAGCCATAACCAACTCCCGCAAACATAAGAAGGCCGAGGGGCCCTCCCAAGGGATCGTTGGATGATGACGGATCACGGTAGACTTTGAGATATTCGCTCATGAATTCCCTGCTGATAGATCCGATAGACTTGCTTGAGCTATAATCAGGGATAATTTTGAGCTTTGTAATACCGAGAAAGCCGTAATAATAATCTTTGGGGTTGGTCGCACGAGCGTCTGATGAGTGGCACCAGACATTGGTCTTGAAATGACTTTGGCTCAACCAATCGCCGACTGGAAGTCCCTGGTTTCGACGACTTTCAAAGATGTGATGTAGAAGCTTCCAGTTTTGTCGGTATGCCAATACCAACTTGAAAAGCTTTTCTTTCTGGAGCCAAACAGAGTTGAATGGACTCAAGATCCATCCCAACCAAGCTGAAAAGTATTCCAACGCCTGAAGTGAAAATGATCGAGGCCCAGAAATGAAAACTGCTTGTTTTGCGAGAATAATTTCTTGTCGTATCCATATGCGGCTCCAGTATGGAAGGTCGAAAAGTGGTTGAGCGGGACCTCGGTGACATTCCCCAACTATTTCCTCCACTGTGCAGAGCGAAGGATACTCCTTAAGCCATAATATATGACCGTACCCTTCATCAGCAACCACTTGGAAAAGGAACTCTTTGACTATCTGTTGGAACTTGTGAACCCTAGAAGACACCAGTTCCAACAGAAAATTCGCTGGTTGGGAGTCATTGATCACATTGGCATCAAGCTTGCTGGCCTGTCTTTGGAGTCGGTCATGCCAATCTGCGACTTCCCGATGTACCCTGATCAGGTCATTTCGGCAAAAGCCTAGTTCCGAACCATATGGCCCTTGTAGTACCCACACAATGACTGTAGTCGCGTGTTCAAGTGCGTTCGCGAGCTCATAAATCTCGAGATCTCCAACTAGCCTGGGTATTGCGGATTTTTTATCGGCGACTAGAAATTGCTTCAAATCATTAAGCTCCTTAAACGCTTCCAAGCGATCATGTAACTGTGCAATACAGCCTCTCAACTTCTGGTGATTGTCGCACTTTTCCACATTTGCACAACGGGAATATCGCTCAAAAGCTGTGATTTGTACAACATCGATGGCAGCACCTATCGGATCACTTAGGGGTCCCAGCCAACAGAGAACAAGTGCGCTTTGGGAATAGATTTCTCCCATTTTGGCAACTTGGTGGCTCTTCTCAGCATCATCAGCTTGGTTAATACAGATCGCATCCACCCATAATTTCTGGCCGGCGGCGTGTTTCGATCGACTGAGGTGCTGCGGAACGCATCTCAAAGCCGAGGCCAATGATGTTGTTACTGCGTATTCGTGTCCGTTCACAAGGATAATCTCGGTAACTTTAGGATCGCCCCAGACGTAGGATAGCGCATTGAATGGTAATTGATCATGAAGCTCAGTGACATCCATTTCACACGATATCACTGGCGTGGTCGACGTGATTGTCAGTAGCCTGATCTGGTTACCAGATATTTTGAGACTGCCATAAAGAGACGTTCCCTGAGGAGATGGCACGGCGCCATTCTCTTGGGTGATATCAGCGGTATATGCTTCTGAGGACCTACACTTGATTAGAATAAGGGTGATATATTGAGCGTTCGACTTACGCCATGATTCAGATACAGTTCACTAGCGTCGTATCACCATGTGGGTGCGTTAAATGTCTGAGACTGCGAAATTGAAAAATAGAAATAGAATAAAGATAAGTCCTGTTAGGTGCTTGCAGTAAATGCACCAGGAATCAACGCATTTATAAGTGTGTGAGCAATGACTTGAGTTTTGTAATTTCACCAACAAGGCATACTGCTAGGCTGTGAGGCTAACTGGTGATTTGGAGATAAGAAGTTGGTCGCAGCCAATGAAAATGTACTGGATGCAGTGAGATTGTCCTCGCCAACATACGAGCTTCTTTGGTGCGTTGGACCATCAGATCCAAATGGCATCCCCAGGCTCCCCAGCTTGCATATTGTTAAAATAACCCTCTCTGGAGGAATGGCAACGGTTGTGTTTTGGGAAAATCATTTTACTTGGCCCTGCTACTTCAGTTTTGTCTGCGCAGCTTGGTTAGGTCGGGTACCATCCCGTCTAACAAGTACTGAGCCCAACCAACACAGGTGGCAATGAACTTTTGACCCCTCTCTCACCGGGGTCAGCCGCGACATAGAACGTTGGACTGCAACTCTCCACATGTCTGGTAGACTTCACCTAAAGAGATCGAATTAGGTAATTACTCACGTTTACCAGCTACAGAACCCGAACGAATAGTCGTGATACGAAGGCTGTTAAACACGGAGAAAGCTACCCTGGTCTTGTTTAAAGTAGCTTAATAATAAGACAAAAACAGACAGAAACACTTTTAACAACTCTCAGATACTAGCATTAAGATAGAGTAGTAAGCAAGCTATATTAACTCTGCTAAGTTAGTAATAAAGACTTAAAAGCTTTCTATATAGCTTTGTTTTAAAAGATATAATTACATATTAGTAATAGTTTGAAGTTTAAGATATACCTTTTACTAAAGTGTTACTTATTATAAGGGTTATATAATTTAATACTATTTAAACTGACTAACTGGGTTATTAAGTCTACAGACCCGGAGAAACTGTTCCTGCATCCAGACAACTTTGTCCCTATGTAGCCCACGACAGATAAGATCTCCGCCCTCCTTTGACAGCACTTTGATCAGGCTATTCAAGTGAAGCAGTGCGTGCGAAGGGCCTTGAATCAGTATATGTCGCTTGTAATCAGAGAGACTCATTGCCTGATCCCCTTGGAGATACTGGGTACGTATGGCTTCATCCAAGTCTTCGTCGTGGTAGTTGGGGATTCTGATCGCTGGGTCCGTTAAGTCGTGCAGACCTCCGTGATTCTGGCGGTTCCCCAGGTAAAATGGTATGGACCGGCAGATGGAGTCCACCAACTCCCTGCCGTGATTGGGATCTGGGAAACCGTCATCCTTAGTAGCAATCAAGATAGTTTGCTGCAGTAAGTCGGAGGGCGCCTTCGCAAGTAGATAGAACTTCATCCGCAGAACCATGAGCCGGCAAACGCGCCATACATTCCAGATGGTGGCAATCTGGACGGTTGGGTATATATCGCAGAACCCGAAGTAAGCAAAGGTGTCTTCTAGGGGTCTTTTATAAGGCTGCCATGAGGTCGGCACTAGGTGAACCCAATCCAATAGTTGTGCGTTAACGGAGGAAGCGTCCTGCCACCAAGTCGCGAGAGTCAGACCATCCAGGTTATTCTTGGCCAGCCCGCACATAAAGGTAGATAGTCTCTTTTGCAAATCGGCAATCGAGAGCCCGACCAGGTCCAAGACTGCATTCGGGCTAGCTGGCATAGAATAATTTAACCCTGCATCGAACCAAACATCCAGGCCCGAGGTGTCGTCTGGTTGCACTTCCATATATGTCGACACATCACAGTGCCGCAGGTAGCCCCTCAAGTATGCGCGGCAATCCGAGTCCTGGACGCTCCCGTCGCCATGCTCCAGCAATGCACGAGCCCCGTCCTGGTGGACGCGCATGGTTTGCTGATGCGTCGATCGAGCAGCGAGGCTCTCGTAGAAGTGCATCAAGATGGCGCTGAGTACGGTACTGTCCTTTAACCGTTCGGTGGGATCATTGAGAGCTGCTTGCAGGCGACTCAACGCCCTGGTAAATGGAGGATGAGGCGTTCGATAGGTGTTTGTTGGGGATTTCCACAAGCTCCAGAGCTTGGTTGACACGGCGGTCAGGACGGTCGAGAGGACAGAATCCGGATGCTCCTTGGCTACGGCAGGGAAAAGAGGCTCGAGGAAACCCTGGGTCGAGCGAAAGCTGCGTCCTAAGCCCGCGATCGAGGTGAGGAAGAAGGAGACAGCGAACGATTCGTCGTTGAGCGAAATAGTTGCTGGTATGACAGCCTGCATTGCGCATTCTGGCGGCGTTATCGACTGGTGAGGGCTTCTGAACCGCGAGCCCTGGTCCTTGAACCGAATCCCCGTAGTCTTCTTCTTTGATTCGTAACCTCCACACACCCGTCGCAGCCGGAGGCATTCCCGACAGCTGGGTCTATCCCCGTCGCATTTAACACGTCGTTTGCGACATGTCGAGCAGCCCTTTGAGGGGCCATTGTTGACCATGTCTACTGCGCAATGATCAAGAGTATGTTCCTTCTAGGTGAGAGTTGCCACGCGGCCGGCGCATCCAAGAAATTAGACAGTGTTTGCGAACAAATCAAAGATTGTCAAGTTTGAGTCCAGGTTTCCTCATCGGTCGGATTTCCGTGCAGTGTTTCCGACGGGAGAGGCGTAAGCCGTGGCGTAGCGGGAACTAGGCTGGGGGGAAGGATTACAAGGCGACCAATCGCAAAGGAATTGCCTTATCCGTCCTAGTTGCTGCGGTAAGCACTAGGAAAACACCAATCGCAAGCCGGCTCCATGCAGGGCTGGGTAATGGTGTAAGTGTAGATCGGTTATGGGTTGCGTTCGCTGGAACCGATTGCGAGAAGAAAATGAAGATAAAAGGCAGGGCATCGCCGAGAATATTGCAATATGATCAATATCTTCATTCGCATCTCTACTCATTGTTCTCTACTACACACTTACTTCTGAGTCACTTCCAAAATGAAGGCAACTTCCCTGTTCAGTGCCATTCTCGTGGGGGCAACGATAGCCTCAAGCGCCATTATTCCCCGCGACTCTACGCCATCTCCCTCTCCAAAGGAGCCAGAGGATCCCATAATTCTGTTGAGCAAAGATGAAAGCTTCCATTTCGAGCTGCTCTTTACCCTTGGAAACACCATCTTCGGGGCTGGCGACGTCAACGACGTCTTGGCCGCAGCGAAGCACGTCAAGGCCGGCAACTTCACCAGCTGGCTCGAGACCTTCCACGCCTTGGCCAAATACACCAAAAGTCAAGCAGAGGATTCGGACAATGCGTACGATCCATTGAATGTCCGGGAAGCCTGGTTTGCTGCATCAAGCTACTACCGTCAGGCCGATTTCTACAACCATGCCAACTGGACGGATCCGCGTATCAATAGCTTCTGGCTCGAGCAACGCGCTGCGTTCGACAAGGCGCTTGCTACACTGCCCGTTCCTGGCGAACGTATCCAGATCCCGACCGACAACTTCACCATTGAAGCAATCTGGTACACATCCGCAGCCGATAATGTGAAACGGCCGACCTTGGTTATCGGCAACGGATACGATGCAAGCCAGGAAGATTCCTACCACTCGTTCGTCGTACCAGCCTTAGCCCGTGGCTGGAATGTCATGACCTACGAAGGGCCAGGGCAGCCCACTGTTCGCCGCAACGATGACATTGGTTTTATCCCAGATTGGGAGAAGGTTCTCACGCCAGTGATAGACGAATTGCTGAGTCGCAAAGGCTGCTTCGTCGATGAAGACAGGCTGGTCCTTGTTGGCATTTCAATGGGTGGGTATCTAGCTGCTCGTGCCGCTGCGTTTGAGCCTCGAATCAAGGCTCTTATTCTCAATGGCGGCGTGTGGGATGTCTATGAGGGATATGCCAGTCAGCTGGGCCCAGACATGGAAGAGCTTTTTGCTGCGGGTAAGCAAGAGGAATTCGACGAGGCTGTCTTGCCGCTCTTGGATAGCCCACAAGCGCCTACAATGATGCGCTGGGGTCTGGGACACGGATTGTGGTGCTTCAAACAACATTCCCCGTATCTATGGCTCCAATCACTTAAGCAGTACACTATCAAGGACGTGGTTGACAAGATCAAGGTACCCGTCCTTGTCGTCGATTCCGAGTTCGAGGGGTTCTTTGCCGGCCAACCAGAGGTTGTTAGAGACGCACTTGGCGATAGGGCAACTTATAAATTCTTTAATGGAACAGCTGGATATCACGTCCAAGTTGGAGCTGGGCAAGAGTGGAACAGGTACCAGTTTGCCTGGCTCAATAAGATATTGAGGTAGGTAGGATTAGCTTCTATATATTACAACTTAACTTAAAGGCTAGTTGTTAATGAAAGGTTTCATAATTAAGCTATCATAATTGTGTAACTTATTCGTGACGTGAGCCACACCGCTAAGCAAATTATAGAACGGAAACACATCAATATGATGCAAGTCGACGTCGGACTTCCATCGGCAACCTGATTTTCTCTTTGCATCGCAGCATATGGTGATTCGACCTTAATGGCTTTTATTCGCTCAGGGCTCCTTGGCTGGCCGTATAACGTAAGACATGCATGGCAGACAAGCTGTTTACTTGAAAGAGAGGAATCGAGAGAAAGCCATAAGAGACGCCTTTCTGTTGATGTATTGTTCAAGGCTGGGAAGAGGAAACGCAAATTGGATAATCACTGATGCTAAAGAGTAATCAAAGCCAAACTGATGGTCGCCGAAGCCTAAGGATCTTAAACACAAGACAATAGAACTCGTTCTACAAAACCCAATGACAATTTAACAAGAAGATAGAAGGAATAACTAGACTAATGCTAAGTAACGAAAATATCCTATACGGTAATATACGGAATGCCAGTCAACAGGAATCCTCGATCAGTCAACTCAGGGGCCTTCCTCGGCATGTTAGTGTTATAGGGACAAGGCTCTCCATTCCTCAAGACAGGGATTCCTCCGACATGCATAGCATTAGGCCA